AGTACTGACCATGTGTGATCTACACTGGAACCCCTGCCAGGCTTGCTCCTTCCACAGCTGTATTGAGGGCATCAGGCAAATCCTTACTCTGACCCCCTGTTTGTCTGACACTGATGAGAACGTGCAAATAACTGGATTCTAAATGTGTGCCATAAAAAGCCACGAGCTGAACAACAGCCCTACCTCGGTGCAGCTTGATTGGGCAAGAGAAGTCAGACTCCAAAGGATCTTCCTCATCTCCTGTTGCCAGTTTCAGTGCAAGTTCCAGCTCAACACATTCAAACACGTACAGGGAAGGAATAAGATCAGATCTTGGGTCCCAGGACTTCTCTGACTGTAAAGAGCATTAAATTCTTCTGTCAGACATCATTTAAATAGGAATGCCAACATAAACAGCATCAAGAAAGAGGTACAAGTTTTAATTGTCAAGGAATGTAGTTCAAGTTTACTTAAAAAAAAATTAACTTGAACCCAGGGTTTCGCAGAAAATCCTCCTTAAATTAGATCCTAGTAAATTTGATCAAAAACTGATCTACTGTCAGGGTACACAGGACTGAGATTTAAAATAAAAGTGTCAGGGAGCCACAGGAACTGGCTGAAACAGGAGAAAGACTCACTACCTCATTCCAAAAGAATGCAGCTTTGGCACTTGGCACACACTTCGAGGCATCCCGCCACCTTGCAGCAACAACTTGGATTAAAGAAACAAAAATACCTCCAGAAAAAAACCAAACCAAGAGAAGGTACCTGCTCATCATCCTCCTCTCCATCCAGCACCACGCAGTGGTAGAGCATGCCCGACTCGGTGGCAATGACCAGGATGTTTGGCACGCAGGGCAGGCACAGCACGGCGCAGGCGTCGTAGCCGTAGTTGTCCTCGGCCGCCGGGTGCATGGGCAGCGGCCCCAGCAGCTTCCCCGGGCTGCCCGTGCTGCAGGGAACGGGAGAGGAACGGGAGAGGAGCAGGTGAGGAACGGGTGAGGAGCAGGAGAGGAACGGGTGAGGAGCAGGAGAGGAACGGGTGAGGAACGGGTGAGGAGCAGGAGAGGAACGGGAGAGGAGCAGGTGAGGAACGGGAGAGGAGCAAGAGAGGAGCGGGAGAGGAGCGGGAGAGGAACGGGAGAGGAGCGGGTGAGGAGCGGGTGAGGAGCGGGTGAGGAGCGGGTGAGGAGCGGGTGAGGAGCGGGTGAGGAGCGGGAGAGGAGCAGGAGAGGAACGGGAGAGGAGCAGGAGAGGAACGGGTGAGGAGCGGGAGAGGAGCGGGTGAGGAACGGGAGAGGAGCGGGTGAGGAACGGGAGAGGAGCGGGTGAGGAACGGGAGAGGAGCGGGTGAGGAGCGGGTGAGGAGCGGGTGAGGAGCGGGTGAGGAACAGGTTTGCTCTCAGCCCACGGCTGTCAGACAATGGCTGGGAGCTCTCAGTCCCACTGCACTGCTGCAGATTGCAAGTCTGACCTGCAGCTCCTTGCTGGAGAGCTCAGAGGGGAAACCAGAGCTCATTTTATGCTTTGAAAGCAACCAAAGCTGCACTGCAAAAATTCATGAGGAAACATTCTCTTGCAAGAACACAAAATACTCATGGAAGGCTCAAGGTAATGATTACTCAAGTGGTTCTTGCACTTCACATGCAGCATTTTGTACTGTGGCATTTCTTTGGGCAGAACTTTAGATGGACTAAAGCCAGCTCACTGCCTGCAGACAGATCCCCTCATAGTGCTGCTTCTAACCCAAGTACCACACTCTTTAATATTCAGCTACACAAGATCTAACTTGAAGTCTTGCACCATCTTCTCAGTTTTCTAAATTCCTTCTTGTATCATGTTTATATTTTGATTAATCATTTCCATTGCAGGACATCCTGTGAACTCTCTATGCTTTTCAAGTATTTCTTTTCCTAGGATGCCCCTGGCTCAATGAGCCTCATCCAAAGCTAAGGATGTCTGTGCCACAAAATACATGGAACAGCCTCAGACCCACTGATCTTCTACAGCCCTGTGTGTTCATATCAAATTGCTGGTGGTAAATAATGCACAGCACATTCTGAGCAGTGGAAGCTGCACCCATAATGTTTGGATGAGAAAGGATGACACACTGGTTTTGGATTCCAGTCTATCAGCACTGCCACAGAGACAGAACAGGCTGCAATACAAGCAAACTCAGCCCAGTATCCCTCACAGAGTCCCAGCCAAGCTGAGAGGTGACTCTCCCACCCCAGCACTGTACAGCCAAGCACCCCACGAGCCCTGGGGCTCAGAGCCTACCTCTGGAGCAGGCTGACGTAGGTGAGGAAGGTCTCTCCATTCTCATAGAGGATGTACAGGGGGTAGCCCAGCACCTCATCGCTGCCGCGCTGGCCCAGGGCGTGCTTGGGCACCGGCACCTGCGGCCCGAAGTCGAAGGCCACGGCTGTCTCACCCAGGGACGCTGTGTAGGCTCTCCTGGCACAGGGCACAACCAGCTGGGTCAGCAAGCACTGAGAGCACAGAGTGCAACCTGCTCCTGAGGGCTGTGCTGCCAAATCCCTGCCCAACCCCGTCCCATCCAGCAGTGCCAGCTACACAAGGCTGTAAGGGACACCCCCGATGTGGCACATGGGTCCTGCAGTGCCCCCACAGCTCCAGAGACACAGGAGGGGCTCTGGTACTTCTGTGAGGGACACCACTCTGTGCTGCAAGGGTTCTGCTTCCAACCAGGCCAGGAATGAAATAAAAAGATAATCTATTCTCTACATTCCTCATTTAAAATCCCCTTCTTAACCCCAGCTTAAAGTCAACGCGTGGTTTTCAAGCTGCTACTCTGACAAACACTTGACTGTACAGTTTGTCACTGCTTTGCTTTTGAAGGGTGGGGGAGAGAGGGAGAGGAAAGAAAGAAGAGAAGGAAGAGAAGGAAGAGAAAGAAGAGAAAGAAGAGAAAGAAGAGAAAGAAGAGAAAGAAGAGAAAGAAGAGAAAGAAGAGAAAGAAGAGAAAGAAGAGAAAGAAGAGAAAGAAGGTGAAGGGGAGGGAAAAGTGTAGGTACTCTGCCATGAGGAACTGCTAGCACTACAGAATTCATATGAGATTTTCAGGCACATTTATCACTTATTGATTAAAAACACAACTGAGAATACTGAGCTTATTCTGCAAAAGCATTTCAAAATACAAGAAGCCACACCAACCCTGTTTTGATGGTCAGAGTCTCCTCCTCAGTGTCTGAAAGCACAATCACTTTGATGGGCGTGTGAGGCACCTTCAGACTGTAAAACCTGGGGGAAAGAAAGAAACAGCAGCCATGGTCAGTCTGCTGGCAGTGCTGCACATTCCCTGCTGACACAGGAACATCAGCCACTCTCACTCTGAAATTCCCCCCATCCTACTTTTTTATTGCTATCTCTGGTAAAAATGGCAGGATGCAAATACCCAGTGACAAATTAAGGCTGGACATGATTAAAAAAACACACTTCAGATAATCAGCCACAAATGGGGCTTACCTGATGGTGTTATCTGATGTCAGGAGCACGATGTGGGGCTCCATGGTGTCACAGGGGTACCAGGCTGCATGCTTCAGGGTCAGGGAGGTTGAGCTGGTGAAGAAGCGCTCCGCAATAGGAATGGTGCTGGAACACAGAGCAGAGACTTGCACTGGGACCAGAAACACACAAGCTACTTCTAAAGGGAGATGGGGGCAAGAAGAGCTAGAGACACAGTGAAAAGGTTTCAGTCTTTATCTGTACTACTCTGAAAGTTGGAAGGCAGCTTTCAATCAAAGCTGTCTGTTATTTCCCCCCAAACATCTGCTTCATTGCCTCAGCAATTACAACAAGTTTAGAAGGTAATTTATTTGGTTTACTTGACAAGTAGCAAGTATTTGAGCCAAAATAATTTCATTCATGACTGCCCCACAACCTCAATACAACCTGTACCTTCTGTATCTGCCTAACCCCAAGAAAGGGAGGTTGTAGAGGAAGAGTGGTAGGACAAGGGTGTCATTATTCACCTGAGGTCTCACCCACCTGCAGTTCACAGTGGATTTCCCACCTTCAAACTCGGAATTCTTGCCCCAGCGTTTGGGCAGCTCCAGCACCATGAGCCCCTTGGTACCGATGAGCGCCACATGGTGCTGGGCAGGGCTCAGCAGCGTCTGGTGCACGTCGAAAAGGGGCGGGTTTATGCACAGAAGAGTCTGAAAACAGAAATGTTACAGGGAAGCACAAGCCCTTCAAAGCACTCAAAGCAGAGTACAGCTCATCTTTATTTTGGATAGTGATTTACACGGCACGGAATGAAACACAAAGCAGTGGGTTCCTTGGGGAAGGACACCCCAGGGCGGCCTGAGGGATGATATTCCTTTCAAGGAACAGCGCCCCTCAGCCCCGTGCCCACCATGACCCTCCTCCCCTCAAACCTCACACCTCGCATCCCCTCACATCCTCTCTGTCCCTTTTTTAACACTCTCCACACATCCCCTCACGGTCCGCCCAGTCCCTCACACCCCCTCCCCTCCTCACGGCCCCTCACACCCAGCCCGTCCCTCCACGACCCCCCATCCCCTCACGCCCCAAACGCTTCCACCCCAGCCCCTTCTTCCGCATCCCCTCACAGCCTCCCCATTCCCTCACACCCCCCGCCTCAGCCGCTGCTCTCCTCAGCCCTCCAACCCCTCAGCCCCTCCCGCACCTGGTAGCGGCCGAGCGCGGCGGGGTCGGTGCCGGTGCCGAGGCGGCGCAGGCCGATGGCGAGCAGGGCGGCGGCGGGCCCGTCCCAGAGCAGCAGGTCGGAGCCCAGCCCGCACAGGAGGTCGCGGAGCCCCGGCGGGCGGGGGGCGGCGGGCGCGCGCTCGCGAAGGCGGCCGAACAGCGCGTGCTGCGGCAGCGCCGCGCGCCACTGCTCCGCCGGGCCGTACTCGGCCGCCATCGCCCCGCGCGCCGCGCCGCCCTGACGTCACCGCCCGCGCGACCAATGGGCGCCGCCGCCCGCGGACTACATTTCCCGGCGTGCCCCGCGGGCCAGGCGCGCTGCGGGCTCGGTGCGATGGCGGCGCCGGTGCAGGGGCACCGAGCGCGGTACAAGAGCCCGGGCGGGCCGCCCTGGAGGGAAACGTACCGCAGGGTGAGCGGGGAGCGGGCTGCGAGGGGGGGACGTGGGCTCCCTCCTCATTTAGACCCAGTTCGGTCCTCCCGGGGCTGGCCTCAGTGGTCCCGCAGGGGTGGGTGAACCTCCCCCCGTCCGAAACTTTCCCTTGACCGCGTCCCGAGTGACGCCCGGCGCTGCCCCCGCTGCGAGCTGTCATCCAGCTCCCCCGCAGCCCCTCTGGGACGTGGCCAGCCCCGGTACCCCTCATGCTCCCCTCAGGGATTCCCGGTCCCTCAGCCCTATGGGACGCACCCCCCAGCCCCGGTACCCCCGTGCCCCTCAGGGATTCCCGGTCTCTCACCCCTACGGGACGCACCCCCCAGCCCCGGTGCCTCCCCCGTGTCCCCTCAGGGATTCCCCGTGTCTCGGCCCTGTGAGACGCAGCCCCTCCGCCGTGTCTGACCCCCCAGCCCCGGTATCCCCCGTGTCCCCTCAGGGATTCCCGGTTCCTCGGCCCAGTGGGTCGCATCCCCTCCGCCGTGTCCCAGCTCCGGTAGCCCCCGTGTCCCCCCGAGCCGGTGCTGATGGCCCCGGGCGCTCTGCTCTCCCCGCAGCGCTGCATGGAGCGGCTGAGGAGCAGCCGGGCCAAGCTGCTGGATCGCTACCGCCAGGCCGGGGATGGGGCGAGCAGGGCGGCCCCGGGAGCGCTGCTGGTGCAGGAGGTGATGGAGCAGGAGTGGCAGGAGCTGCGGGACAGGCTGCCCGGCCTCGGCGGAGAGCAGCCCATGGAGCAGGTCAGTGCTGCGTCCCCAGCATCAACACCACGTGTGTGATACAGGAGTGTCAAATACAGCTCCCTGAGGGTCTGACTTCAGCTTCTCACTGGAGCTGACAAAACTTAAGAGCTTCAGGGTTTCCTGTTCTGTAGCTCAGGCAGGGTGTTGAGCTGTGAAAGTGCCTCCGGGCATGAGTGGGGAAATTCCTTATTTCTTTCACAAACAGCCTGTGGATCACAGCAGAGGGTTGGTTTCCTCATCGGTGCTTTTTATAGCTGGTTGTCACTTCCCTCTTCTGAGAATGGAAATGAAACCTCAATGTCTTAAAAAGCGAGTTCTTGGACAGGTTGTACTTGGGTCTCTTCTGGCTGGCTCTGCACTTGTGTTTACAGTACAGGTTGCTTCCCACAGTGCATAGGTTTGCAAAGAGAGGGATTTACTAGACAGGAGAATAAGAGTGGATTTGTGTTGCTCAGTCAGGTGCTGGAAGTGAGAAAGTGGAATGGGAGGATCACTGACTGATTCACCTTTCAGGTGCTGGGGGACCCTGATGAGCTGGCAATGCTGGAAGAGATCCAACAAGAACTGATCTTGCAAGGTAAGATCTTTACACATCTTCTGACTCCTGTTTGATCTGTCACTTCCTGGTAATGCAGAAGAGCTGGGGCTGCACTCCTTGGTTCTTGCAAACCACGTGATACAGGGCAAGAGCCTCCTTACAAATCTTGTTGAGGTATTGAGACCTCTTCTCAGAGTTTTAAGAGTTAAAGTGGCATTTTAACATCTGTGAGGGAGGCCAGAGAAACAGGACTGAGATCTTTTAGCTCTAGGAACCTTTATAAATCAATTCAGCATGTTTCTAAAGTGCTGATCAGAAAGTAGAAAGACCCATATGAGATGAGTTGAGCCACAGAAAAAAAACAGATTAGCAGGAATGATTTCACCAAGCATAGAAATCTGACTCAAAGGAGTAAAAGCTCTTAGAAACTTGTATCCAGCCCAGCCTGCATCAGCCCCAGCAGGCCCTGAGGGTGCTGTGCTGTGCTGTGTTGTTGCAGAGCAGTTGGTGATTGAGGAGTACGAGCGGAGCCTGCGCTTCGATGAGGAATGTCTCAACGCCATGCTGGACGGCCTGGACGCCTCTGACAGGGTCATCTGCCCTGTATGTAGGAAGTAAGAAAGCCCTTGGCACTGGAATCAGATTCCCCACTCTCCTGCAGCAGTCTGGGCTTAGAAGCGTGCAGAGGAAGGCTGCTGTTCATTTCAACAAAATAAAAATGCCTGAGCAATGATCTAAATCTAATGAGGGGGCTGTTGAGTTGGTTTTGGGTTTTTTGCTCCACTGACAGGGTCATCTGCCCTGTATGTAGTAAGAAAGAAAGCCCTTGGCATTGGAATCAGATTCCCTGCTCTCCTACAGCAGTCTGGGCTTAGAAATGTGCAGAGAGAGGCTGCTGCTCATTTCAACAACACAGAAATGCCTGAGCAATGAGCTGAATCCAGTGGTCGGGGTGGGGGGGTTTTAGGGTTGGTCTTGGGTTGGTTTTAGGGTTTTTTCTTGCTAAGATCTTTCCTTGTTCCTGGTGTCATGATGCTCATAGTTTGCTCTTCCCAGGAATAACCTGACTGTGAAGGCTCACTTGGTTTGTTGCCAGTGTGGATTGTACATCAGCACACAGGTGAGCTGCACTGTGACACGTTGTGTGTGGCATCTCTGCTGCTGCAGAGGCAGCTTTAAGCTACAGACAGGAACTCCAGCTGACTTTTAATGAATTATTCTCAGGATATGACAGAGGGAAAGCTTCGTTCCCTGCTGGAAAGCACCTTGACAGAGCACAGTCAGAGGTGCCTGCACAGCCCTGAGTTCACAGTCACCAGTGGCATGGAGGAGGAAGCCAGTCTGCTGATGAGCTGCCCTGTGAGTGCAAATGTCAGGGTCCTGGAAAGGATCCCTGCTTGGATCCATGGCTCAGTTACATAGCCAGAAACCACAAGTCTGTTGATCTCTGGGTTTGTGTGGCTTTTTTCACAAAATTCCTTGGAAATGGCTTTACCCTTGACCACCAGTAACCATAAAAGAGAAGTTCCAAAGTACACACCTTTAACTGCCAGATTAGGGAATCTTTCAAGGATCTGTCAAATTCAGTGCCCTAATTTTAGCCAGCAACTTCTAAGTCTTGTATGCACCATCTGATCAGATAAGCGGTTCATGAAGAAAAGTTTTAAAAGATACTTGTTTAAACCTCCTGAAAAACTTCCTCCAGGTGTCTCAGAACACCCAGCAGCCCTTTGGCTCCAGCTAGAGCTGCTGCTTGCTTTGCTGTGTAAAACCAGGGTGAGGACAGTGGTAGGGACAGAGCATTTCAAATACAGCCATGGAATTAAAGTTGGAAAAGACCTCTAAGATCAAATCCACCCATTCCCCCAGCACTGACAAGGCCACAACTGACCCATGTCCCCAGGTGCCACATCTAGATGTCTTTTAAATCTCTCCAGGGATGATGACTCCTCCACTTCCCAAGGCAGCTTCTGCCAGTTCTCAACAACTCTTTTGTGATCTTTTTCCCCCCAATTAATAGTTTTTCCTGTTCATAGTTTTGAACTTTATACATTAACACAGTTCTCTGTTCAACTTTTTTGTGAAGGTCTGTGACTCCTGGATGATTCTCCTCTAAGGTGATTGAGCTGCTGCTTTACTTCTGGAAGACTTCAATACTAAACTTCACCCAGAGCTGCTAGGACTCTTTTGTACATATTTCTAACTGCTGTATCAAAAAGACACTCCAAAAGGCACAGTATTGCCTTGACCTGCACTTTTAACCACACAGGACATGTTTTGAAATAAATATATTTAGTTTATTTTGGCTTTGGGGTTGTCTTTAATACTACATCAGTGATCTCATAGCTCATGTTGGACTTCAGCTTTGAGTTTAAATGAACCTTAAATAAAGAAACTAACTAACTTAAATAAACTTAAAACCTTCAAACAGCAATTGGAGGCACTGGTTTAAGTAGAAGTGCTCAACTATCACTGCCACAACTACTCTGTGAGCAGCTCTGGCACAGATAAACTCTGCCATGACTTTCATGGCAGCTCTGGTACAGCAAGAAGAAGAGAAACCACCCTTTTTCAGTGATATGTTGAACAGTTTTTATTCTTCACATTCACTCTTAATTGTACAAAAACCCCATGCAGGGCGAGGCAACTCCGGCCTGTAGCACTGGAGAACTTGATTGGGGCTGCACCATCACTACAACTCCCCAAATCCAAGTGAGAATCCTCCTTCTCCACCTTCCAAGTTACTTACTCTCTGTATCCACTGTGAAGATTTATTTGGGTATTGCTGGATGAAGCAGCACTGTGGAATACCCACACTTTGAGGCTGAGTTTCCTAGCCTGACCTACTGACATTTGACAAAGCTTTTAAGGTCTTCAAGGAATTTGATGTACTCCTGGTGCTCCAGGGCAGTGCTGAGCTCTATTAACTCATCAGCAAAGGTGTTGTCCACTCCTCTGTCAGCCAGGAAATCCATCAGGTGATCATAGAGAGCCTGGAGCAAGGAACAGAAACCTTCCTTAGTGAACACACCTGGGCAGGGGTGCATTAAAATGTCCCCTGGCAACTGGAACTTCTCCCAGGAAAATCGGGCCCAGCTCGCACTGATGCCTTCATTTTTAGCATTTATATTTCCCAGATTCTGCACTGCATTAGTGTTTAACTCTGAGTTTCATATAAAGTGTTAGCAAGTTCTCCTCAATGCTCAGTCAGACAAAACAATCATTTTCCAGCCCCAGAACCAAGGACACCCCTGCAGCTTCAGGCCCAAAAAGTGCAAACAACAGGGAACTGAGGAGAGCAAACTGGGAGGATGGGACTGCATAACCTGGAGCTGGAATTGGACAATTAACCCCAATATAGAAATGGACTTAAACTTATAAAAGTGTGAAAATTCAAGACTCCTCTTGGGTGTATCCCTAGCTGGGCTCTTTTATTCCCCAAGGTGTGTCCTTTAAGGCCTTTTATTCAATCCCTATTTTATTCCTTTAACACTGTCTAGCCTTTGTTCTAGGCAGCCTCTCAAGGCACCACCCCAGGAGGGCAGGCCTGACCTTGGATGGAATATTTGGACAGAAAGGGCCATGGAACAGGTAATAAAACCCAAACCCAACACTACAAATGAGCTGCACCCTGGAGATGATCCCCAGACTGTGGAGTCATCAGGGGAAATGTGTCAAGGATGACACAGGCCAAGCTCTGCCTGTCCCCTACCCAGGGGTGAGCTAACACTTTGGAAAGGGATCTGATGTACAGGTTTGTCTGAAAGGCTTAAATGTTAAATGTTTTTCCTTTTCATTCACATTTTAAATTAATTTAATGTCTTAGGGGAAAAATAGAATAATCAGTGTGGGATGGTCTACAGCACACTGAGCAATTTTAACATGAATGCTTCTCAAGGGGATACACTCTAGCACTTCTACTTTCACTTTTAAACAAGACAGCCCCAAGCTAAAAATTGTAGCTTTTTAAATCCTGGTATTGAGACCATAAGAACACCCAGATTCTAGTGCGTATTTTTAGTGTTACAAGTCTAACAACACACCTGGAAAAGCAGGACACAATGTATTTTTTCAGATACCACACACAGATGATTTTACCTACACATGGTGTCTGATAAGCCACATTGTTAAACACAGATCAAAAGATGTTTAACAAGTGTCAAAGCATTTCCAGAATGTGACTCCCTGCTGGGAAATCCACCTATAAAATCTGGAAAGGAAGAAGATTCCCCTGTCTGTCCTGATTCCTGGTAATGCCACCAGCAGTGCACAACCCTGGGACCATGAGACACCCTCAGTCTGCAGCAGAAGCACCAGCCAGGGGCAGAGCAGGGCCAGGCCCTGTCTCTGACCCCCTGTCAGGTTTAATTCCCAGCCCAGGAGCAGAGGGACAGCCAGTGAGGTGAGCTGAGAGCTCTCTGTGTCCTTTAGCAGCACCTACCCAGTCCAGGGAATCCGTGTTGAGGGTGTAGTTGGTGTCCTTCCAGTCAGCTTCTCCAGTGGGCTGGAAGCTGACCTCCCGAATTGTGAAAATATCACTTTCTTCCTCTCCTTCATGTCCAATCTGAGGCAGGAAAACAAATGCAAGGCATGCAATTAGCTGCAATTAGTGGGCACACTCAGCCAGCTCATCCCCAGGCTGGGAATATCTCAGGAAAAGCCCCAAGGCCAGAGAATCTGTACCTCTCCCCTCTGAGGACAAGCACAGACATGCACAGAACTCAGGAAATCCTCTAAGCTTGTGCTGCCATGTAAATCAGTAGCCTGAATTTTACAAACAAAAAACCAACTTCTGTGTGGTTCTGAATGCTTGTCTGTCTCATCTTTGTCAGCCAAGACTGGCTGTTAAACATCTCCTAACATTTACAAAATTAGCCACAAATACCAATGTGAGTAAAAGCTCTCAATTTTATTTTCTTCCCTCCTTTTCTAATCCCCACTTCTCTACTGGAATTCAATAAAGAGCTCAGTAAGCAGCTGATCAGAAACACCAAGGCGGGATGTGAGGAATGCCATAAACATTTCCTCCCCACTATTCTTGCCAACATAAAGCCTTTTTTTTCTGATTAAGAAAAATAAAGAAATAAGAGAAGACTGGATATTGTGCTGATTCAGAAAAGCAAGAGATTGCAAGGAGCAGTTAAATCCAAGAGGGGCACAGTGATACTCACCTCATCTTCAGGGAAATGGCAGTCTAGCACAAGGGTCTGTTTTGTATCATCTTTTATTACTTCCACTACAAAGTTTGGAGTTGATGTAAGTTCGGGCTAAATAAGAGAACAGTTGCATCAGCACTGGAATCTGAACAGGAGCCAAAGCAACCACAGCACAGCCCAGCCAGCACTGGGTATTCCTGACACCTTCCACTATCCCAGGATGATCCAAGCCCCATCCAGCCTAACCTTGGACACCTCCAGAGCCTTCCCACCCTCACAGGGAACAATCCCTCACAATACCCAATTTAGCCCCACTCCTTGTCATTTAAAAGCCATCCTCCCCTTAACCTGTCACTCCATTCCTCTGTACAAAGCTTCCCTCTCCCACTCTCCTGTAGACCCTTTTGGAAGGTGCTAGAAAGTCTCAGAATTTCCCTAATTTCTCCTTATCTCTGCCTTTCTGCAGGGGAGAGGAAGGTCACAGCCAGGGGACAGGCAGCCCGGGAAAATCTGCATTTTGTGATTTAAAGCTCCCAGATATCACATAAAGGGGAGAAAAAGCCTCAACACTTGAGGACAAAGCTCCAACTTCCCCAAGGGAAGATTCCATTTTTCATCTGTGTCCCCAGCATTAAATGCACATCAAGGCTAAGTCACCTCCTGCTCATCAGGTTTCTGCTGCTCCTGCGTGTCGTCTTCAGCTGAGGGTGGGATGCTGTTATTGATGTTGAATGTAACCGTTATCCTGCGCAAGAAACAGAAACAATTCTTTTGAACACACCCCCAAAATGTCCATCAGAACGGGCCTTTTAAGCCCTGGATCAGGATTCACACACTGTGAACAAAAGCAGGGACTGCAGTTAAAAGACACACCTGGGAGAAGCTGCTCCCTCCAAGTGCTCTCACCTTTTAAAGTTTTACCGAACTGTTATTTTTCAAACAGGAAGACCACGTGAAACTTTGTAACACAAAACACAGTAACAAAAAGGCGTGAAAAAAGTGTCTTCGGCCCAAAGTGGCCACACAAAGGCGCAGTTTGGGCTGTGAGCACATGGAGGAGCCTGATGACTGCGACCCACTCACCCACCCTCGGGGGCTGGGGACCCTTCCCACGTCCCCACTCACTTTTCCCCCGCGATCTTCCGCACCAGCTTGGCCTCCGTGCCGTGCACCTCGAGCTCCCACCCCCCGGAGACCTTGGGCAGGGATTTGTGCTTCTGGATCTTCTTCTCCTCCTGGATCTCGTCCGTCAGGAACTGCGCAAAGGCTTTGTCTCCTAGGGGAAAGAAAACGGGGTTAGGGAAAGGGAGGGATGGAGGAAAGGGGTGGGGGTGAGTTCAGGTTAAAGGGTGTTGGGAAAAGGGGTTAGGGAATGGATAGTTAGGGAAAGGGGGGTGTAGGGAAAGGGAGGGTAAGGAAAGAGGGGAGTAAGAAAAGGGAGGGTTAAGGAAAAGGGGAGTGGGGCTAAGGGAAGGGCGGGTAGGAAAAGGGGGTTTGGGAAAATGGGGGTTTGAACAAAAAAAAGGGGTTAGGGAAAGGGGGATTGGGGAAAAGGGAGTTGTGAAAAAGGAGGTTAGGGAAGGGGGAGTAGGGGAAAAAGAGGTAGCGAAGGGGGTGTAGAGAAAAAGGGGGCATAGAGGAAAAGGGGGCTTAGGCGATGACAGAATTTAGGGAAAGCACAGAATTTAGGGAAATAGGTGGTTTAGGGAAAAGGGGGCTTAAGGAAAGAGGGGGGATTAGGGAAAGAGAGGGCAGTAGGAAAGCCCTCCCCGCCCCACGTGCTGCCCAGCACGGAGCGGGTGCAGCGCACGTGTCCTCCCCGCGCTCTCCCAAGGGCGGCCCCGCTCCGTGCCCGCTCACCCTCGGTGTGCAGCCCGCCGCAGCCGCAGGACACGCGGCCGGCCGAGCCCCGCCGCGGCCGCAGCAGCGCCGTCCGCCCCGCGCCGCCGCCCAGCTGCCACAGCGAGCGCGCCAGGGCCGGCGCGGCGGCGGCGGGCGGCGGCAGCAGGGCGCGGCGGGCCGCGGAGCTGAGCGGGCGGCGCGGCGCGGGGAGCGGCGGGCGCAGCGCGGCGGCGGCGGCGCGCAGGGAGCGGGCGAGCAGCATCGTGCGGGACCGAGCGGCGGCGAGGACGGCCCGCCCCGGAACCGCGCTCCGCTTCCGGCCCCGGCGCGCCCCGCGCGGGCCCCGTGACCACGGGTTCGAGTCCCGCCCCCGGTAAGATCCCCGGTTCGAGTCCCGCTCCCTGTGAGACCCCGGTTCGAGTCCCAGCCCCCATGAGGCCCCGGGTTCGAGTCCCGGCTCCGGTGAGATCCCGGGTTCGAGTCCCGGCCCCGGCAGGACGGAGTGTGCTAACATGGTGCCTGGTTCCCGGGATTTGTGACGATGGAATGGGCAAGGTTGGCACGCACGCAGCTCCGTACAGGTCCCTTCTAGGGTGAAATCACAGACAGAGCTTTAGGAATGTGGGGGACGTGCACAGGTTTTATCCCACACATCATCCCACTCCTAATCAGGACTGGCACTGTTCAGGCTGCAGCGTGGGAGTCTCCTCAGAAAAAGAAAAAAAGGAATGGTTGAGGGTTTTTTGTGTATTTTTGAGGAAAGAGTGACTAAGGCAGCATTTTCTGGCACCAAGCCTGCCCTTTGTCCAAAAGCTGGCACTAGTGCCGCTATGGAGGGGAAGCACAGAACGCTCATTTGCTGCTCACTGCAAGGAGCAGGAGAGCATCTGCCCCACCCCATTAAATGGACACCACCCCAGCAAAGGACCAGAATTTTAACTCTTAATTCTAACAGGAATCTGAGTACTGCACTTGTAAATAGCAGAGTCCATTCTACCTTCACATCTTTAAGCCCAGACTGCTGACAATGAACACACTCCCACAAGACCCATAAACACCAGGACTGATCCTGCAATCATTTGTTCCGTGCCTCACAAACCAACACACACGATTCCCATTTTCACCATCACTTCTTTATTCTGGGAAAAAACATATCAATCCAATCTAAATAAATACCCACCCCATTCTTAGAGGTTATAGCAAACATAGTTATTTTTAAAAAAATTAATGAATATACAAGTTGTGGAAACACCAATCACTTGTTTTTAAAATTTTAAAACTTTATAGGTTATAAATTTTTATAAAAGGTTATAAAAATAGTAATATAATTAGAGGAATAATAATTTGGGCAATTTGGATTCAGACAACATGAGACAACAGAAACAAAGAGTTATGGACGTCCGGGTACCTTTTTCTGAGCAGCATAAGCCCAAAAAAGGACCCACGTTAACAAAGCATTAACCCTTAAAAGCAACAGCCTCTTGAATATTCATAATCTCATACATGATGCAGAAATTCCATTCAGACAAAGGATTCTGTCTGGTCAGTGTCAACTTCTTCCTCTTAATCCTAAATGGTGTCTTCAGGGCTGAGCAAGGCAGGAAGAAGTTTGTGTCTTCTGATAACGGAGCAATAAATTCTCTTTCTCTGAAAGACTGAGGTGTCCTGTGGCTGCTATCTCAGTGCAAGTACCTCATTCCTCTCTTAAAAAAACATCCCACATACATAGTTTCTATTTTAACTACAAAAGTTACCTTTCAACTACAAAACTACATTTACCATGCTATTAAAACGTTAACATAGCACTACTAATCAACACAACAAAATACATACAGTAAATATCTGCATAGAGCCATATAATATGCAACTTTCTGTTGCGTTGTGATTTCAGGGTTTAACTCAGAACCTCGGGTCCCTGCCCTGAAAATTCCCTGCCAGGTGTGTCACTCACCACTCCTTTCCCCTCCCTGACCCCTCCCAGCCCTGTCTGTCAGTCCTGGCATTCCAGAAGGGCACTGAGTGATTGGCAGATCCAAAGGATGCCCTCTACCCCTGGGGGGCATTGGGCCATCCAGGTGTCCTTTGTCCCTCTGTCCCTCCCCTCCTGTCCCTGGCTGGGGGCTCCTGCCCCTTCCCTGCCCCTCTCCCCGGGGTTAACAGGAACAGCAACCACGGGCTCAGGGAGTTCTGTTGGAGCTGGTGCTGCATTCAGAGGCCTGTGGGCCAGAATAAAGCTCTGGATCCAAACCCTCCAGCAGAACCGACTCCTTTCCTTCAGCATCGCCTTAAAGCTTCTCCACAGAGGGAAACCTGAGGAATTTGGGGGAAGCTCTATCCTGCAGCCACCAGAGCTCCCACGGGCCCAGCTGCAGCACCCAGCCAGCCAAAAGTGTCTGTGGGGTGAAACACCACACACCCAGCCAGCCCAAAGTGTCTGTGGGGTGAAATACCACACACCCAGCCAGCCCAGAGTGTCTGTGGGGTGAAACACCACACACCCAGCCAGCCCAAAGTGTCTGTGGGGTGAAACACCACAGTGACGCTGTTTGATTCAGCAGCGAGGGTCAGCCAAGCTCAGGCACATCCCATCCGGCTACATTGGTAATTATCCCAATACTTTTCACAAAGTCTTTCGAGGAGAAGCTGAGCCAGCTGGTCCCAGGTCAGCTCTTGGCTGTCCGGAGCTTCCTGTGGAAGAATTCGGGCGCAGCCTCCAGCAGCCACTCGGCGTCCACGGGGCACAGGTCGCGCATGTAGCAGCGGCTGGTGCGCAGCAGCCCGGTGAACACCACGCAGGCGGGCTTGCACTGGAACAGCACCGAGGAGGGGTGGATGGCCACGGCCTGCTGGGAGCCCACGGTGCTGTAGGAGCCGTCCGGGAGCAGCTGGGCCGCGTTCATGAACAGGCTGTGGGCCAGGCAGCGCCGCACGGCCGCCGTGTCCCCGCGGCACGACTCCAGGGGCAGCGACAGCTGCGGGCACAAAGTGAGCATGAACAACCTGCACCCTCAGGGGGATACTGAGACACAGGAGAAATTCTCCAGAGTAGAAATCCATTTTGATTTAGGTGAAATGTACATCTTTGAGTGTCTGGTCAGAAAACATAGCTATTTAGCTCTGTGTGTGTGTGCTGGGAACTGAGCATCTCACTGTGTGGCTGAATAAAACATCTCTGTGGGTATTATGCAAAGGTCTGACCGGTCCGGCCTTTTGTCTCTGCCCAGTCACGTGTAGGATGGCCTTGGGACAGTCCGCGCTCCAAGGGATGAGTGCACTCTTCAGATTTTCAGTCTTCAATATTGTTTATTATCTCTTATCTACAAAGTTTTCTCCCAGCCTGACAGAGGTCTGACCAGCAAGGCAGCCATGGGCACACTGACCCTCCCACTGGGCGGTCGTCTATTTTTATACTAAAAACTACGTATAAGATATTTACCTTTACCTTCCAATACCTTTTACCCATACTAATAAGTGCACATTTGACACGAACCAATCCCAAAGTGCCAACATCACCACCAAAGATGGATGACAAGAAGAAGAAAGAAGAAGGACAAGACACGCCCTAATTCCTCCATCTTGTCTCCTCCAACCCCCCTGTACCAAAATCCCAAAACCTGTATTTTCACCCTGTGAATAATTAATTCCTTCACCACTTATCCCCAAGTGATTCTCTTGTCCTTATTCAGGTGGCACATCCCGTGCAGGGTCAAAATCTAACCACAAAGAACTTCTGGCAACATTCCAGGATTTCTGAGCCCCCCAAGGGTTATCCCGGCAACTCTGGACATCAGGAGTGATGTGCTGAGCTCCCACAAAGGTCCTTTTTGCTTCCTTACCCTGGACTATGCTAGCAGCAATTCAGACTGCTACAGTCCACTTGTATTGAAGTGTATAAAAGAAGCATTTCCAGTGAAGTTGAGGCTCTAGCCTATTAGCTTTCTGACCCAGAGTCTGTGCCACTTCTTACCCAGTCCTGACCCTTACAGTGACACTGGTTCACTTCAGAAATCCTGGGGGATTTTCCTGTGTCAGGACACTGGGGGATCACTGGGAATTCAGCTGAGTGGATGCTAGGCTAAGCCAGACTGAGAGCCAACACAATGGATCATCACTCTCCTTCTAAAAGGGAGTTTAAGGCTGACCAGGATTCACAAATGAGACCCCAGAGGGTGGCTCCCATGTCACTGCAGACTGCCAGGGGTTCAGTGGCAGCTCCCACGCTGTGCCCAGCAGGAGCAGCACTGAGGGGAAGCTGCTGCCACACTGAATGCCTCACTCCATGGAAAAACCAGCCAGCACAGGCTGCCAGCACTCTGTGGCACACACAGCACAGTCCCAGCTGCATTAGAGCAGGAAAAACCCTCAGCCAAACCTGTCCTTTTCCTGACAAGTCTTCTCAGAGGTTCCCATTTCTCCTTGACTCACTAAGCCCTGCAGCTTTAAGATTTTGGGATGCAACTGCACAGTCAGGAATTTTAGCCAGCTATTTACAGGAGAGTGAAAACAATCCTCCATTTTCTCACTTGGGACTTCATGCACAGTAACATCAGTTTGGGGACAAACAGGAAAATACCAACAGGTGAAACAGAGAAATAAAATATGGAAGCAAATTACCTTTACACAGATGCCCCTGAGCTGAGTTCTCACTTCTGCCATCAGCTTCATGTTCCTGCCATTAATAAAATTCTCTCTGCACCATCCCTGCAACAGAGACACCAGCAGTTAGAAAGGGATATTTCTTCACCCCAGGAGCACGACAGCCTTTGTGTACCATGAAAAGCAGAATCCTCCCTACAATCTGCCTCAGAGTAAACATGCTGACCCTTTTCCTGGTCATATTTCTACCCCACTTTACTCCGCTATGTCTAGATTCCCTCCTACACTGCTCAGAAACAACAGGTGGTGGGTCTTTCCCGACTCAGAGCTGCCCTGCAAGGCCACCAAGAGCTGCAGAACAGAGGATAACACTTGTTATCCTGTGGTGGTGAAAACAAATCAGGTAAGAATGACAGGTGCTGCAAGGAATGGGGTGCATGAGTCCACACACCCAAAAATTACTGGGTTGACAGGGTAGGATAAATCCAAATCTGCTTTTCAATATGCTCCGTGGCTTTCCAATGAATCCTGTTCCAGAGCATGTCCAGATACTTACCATCAAATCTCAGCACTCTCCCACTCCCTCCTGTTTCCAGCTGGAACCAGGGAAGGAAGAGCCCTGGCTGTGATTACAGAACTGACCCCACAAAGCTTTGCCAGAGCTGTCTGTAGGAACCTTTGTTACAGAACTTCCTCCAATTCCCCAGATGTAAAGGATGACCCCTTTTTCTCTCTGAGGCACCAGCCATGGAGGATGCAGGGGTCACTCTGCTCTCTGCTCAAACCTCCCCAGCCCACAGCTCACACAGCACTGGCAGCTCAGACCATCCCACCTTGTGCCCGTTGACGCTCCCGTAGGCCCTGTACACGTTGAGCAGGGTGAGATGATCCCCCTCACTGGAGATGAACTTCTTCCTGACAGCCTGCACCTCATCCCTCTGGGCAGGGGGGTTGTGGAGGACACTGTCCACTGACAACAGTGACACAATGGTCAGGATCTCCTCTGCACAGTGGAACTGAGGGGACACGAGGATGGCCTGCACAGACACAACAAAACTCATCTTTAGTTGACCAAATCCACTTCAGCTGGGCAGATCTTTCTGCTCCCTGGCAGCCCAGGAACTCAACCAAACATTGTTTAGGACAATCTCAAACATCTGGGCCTAGGATTGGCTGTAAATCCTCTGATGGGCTCACCAAGCAGCTGTAACAGCAGCTGCAGGCTCCTCTCTGAGACTGCCCAGTGCACAACCAGCACAAACACAGTGACTGAACCAACTACAGCAACAGACATTTCATGGACCTGCTGAACAATCGTGAAAATTACAAGAAAATTTACCTTGTTCACCTTCAGAGGTGCCAGAATAAATAAATACTCTTTTAAAAAACTTCCTTAAATTTAACAACAAATGATAAGCAATCCAGCAAAAGGGCTGTAAATTGTGTACATTAATGTTCAGCAAATATAGCAGTACAGCTGCAAACACCCCAAATTTCACACCTTGTTTAAGGCGTTTGAAAGAGAAATATCAATGGTATAGAGATGAGTACATGAGATTTAAAAAGTTCATTTTTCTGCAGTTTTTACCTTGGAGAACTTTGGATCCAGTGGAAAGGCTGCCATTTTCTTTCCCAGGGGGGTCAGGACAAGCTGACCTTCCTTTTGGGTCACAGCTCCCAGCAGGTCCAGCTGATCAATTGCTGCTTGAATGGCATCTGCCAAAACAGGGACATTGGGCTGTGAGGCCTCCTGCCTTCCCACTGAGGGATGTGAAGATCAGCTGGTTCCATCACTGCCTTCTTCCCCTGGCAATTTCTCTTTCCATTTAGAGAAATCAGGGTCTAAAATGTGGTTTATCCTCCTCTATCTATTAGAATAAGCACCTTTCCCCCTTTACTCTTCCCTTGGCAGTCAGGGCACACTTTCATGTTGTGTTATGACACCTCATGACCCAAGATTTCCCTGCTCTTTTTCTCCAAGGCTGCCTTTGTAGCCACTTACCAGGAGATGGTTTGGACATGAAGTCAAAGGTGAGCACATTGGGAATTTTCAGGGCCAGGAGCTGAAGCACCACACTGGCCAGGTTACACCTGCATAGGCAGAAAAAACAACTGAGATAATTCTTTTATTTTTTTCATTGGAGCTGAGATAGAGTCTCAGGTCTGTGCTGCAGCTTGACAGAGACAAGTCTGATGCTGCTGGTGAAGCCTGATTTCCTAAATCAAGAAGAGACAAGTCCAAAATCTGGAGGACAGTCAGAACTATTGCTTTATATGCTTGGAGACTCAGTGCCCAGCTGTCCACCCTGAGCAAACATTTCCCAGTTTTTCTGTTCAATCCCCACACTTCCATTTTTCTCAAGTCACCCTGCCAGCCCCTAGATCAGCTTTGCTGCTCAGTTCTTCCCAGAGCTGTAAAAGAGGTGTGGCAAGGAGTGTGATGGCTCTGTCCTCACCTCTGTATCTCAGGTGTTGTCATCTCCTCAAACTTCTCAAAGTCCTCCTCTGTGTAGAGCCGGTAGCAAACCCCGCTCTGCTGCCTGCCTGCTCTGCCCGTGCGCTGCCAAGCCTGGGCCTTGGACACCTGCTGCACTGCCAGCACCTCCAGGCCAGTGTCTGGGCATGGAAAAGCATCACCTCAGTCAGTGCCTGAGGAAGGCACAGCTTTGGAAAACACAGAGGATGAGCAGTAAGAATTCCCAGGGTTTGCCATTCAAATCCAGCTCAGAGCTCACTTGGTTCAGCACAGTGAGCTTCAGCACTGTGCTTCACTTGGTGAAGCACAGTGAACAACCCCATGCTGTATCCATGAAGAAAATATTCACATTTAACAGATTTGTACCCCCTCATGGCTGATACTCAAAAAAACTCCACAAAAACACCACCAAACCCCACACCCCAAACCTAGGACATGAATTTAAACAGCATGGAGAGTGTTTGAAATCCTCTTTCAATGCAGCTTATGGCCTCTAGTAACTTCTACAAACCCCAACCCAATTTTGCCCCTGTTCCTCCTCAGAATTCCTCACCAGGGCTGTACTTCTTGGCTTTGACCATGCCTGTGTCCACAACGAATTTTATGCCAGCAATGGTGATGGAGGTCTCTGCGATGTTGGTGGACAGGATCACTTTGCGACAGCCCTGGGAGGAAGGAAAAAATCAAACCCAGGCCAAGGCCACCTCAGAGCAGCTGCAACACAAAAATTCTGCTGCTTTTGGCCTGTGTGGGCCAATCCCTGCCCCACATTGTGAGCACAAACTGTGCTTGCAGTGCCAGCTCTCAGAAACTAAGGTAATCCTCAGTTTCTAATCAGTTTCTAAAACATTCTTCTGCATTTGCAACAAAACACACCACCAGAACAGCTGTTCTCAATACATCTTTCAACAATTTTGGTTTCACTTCTGGCACAATATTTGTGTTCTTATTTATCTGTTGAGTAGGTAAAAAAGAGCCTGAGGCAGCATGAATTCCTTTCCTTATGGGCCTGACAAACATTCCCAGGTATTCTCAGTATTTCCCCCATTAGCTGTTGTAGCTTTTTTGCGATATGGACACAAAATTCCTATGAAATGGACGAAATTTAAATTCCTGTGCCTTCAAATCTTTCCTTCTTTTTATGGCCCCACATGACTTACTGAATGCATCTGTTAAAACCATCACAGTTGCAGTGTATTACATCTCTCGAACCACCCAGCCTATAGCCAACAGAGACTATTGTCACTGTTATATTTTCTGGAAAAATCCCCTTGCCCAGGATTCTTCTCCTGGGAAGCTGAGAAGGCTCAGAGAAAAAGGAAAACAATATTATCTCATTTGCTTCTCCTGTGTTTTGCTGCTTTGGAATGTGTTTAATCATCGTTTACCAACAGGTGGTTGTTTCATGGGTTTCATGTGAATTGTTTTGACTTAATGATCAATCATGGTCAAACTGTGTCAGGGCTCCGGAAGGAGTAATGAGTTTTCATTATTATCTTTGTAGCTTTCTGTAATTATCTTTTCTGTATTCTTTAGTGTAGTATTCTTTAATATAATATAGTACCTTAAAATGATAAATTAACCTTCTAAGAACATAGAGCATCCTTCCTCCCTTCATCTTGGAACCCCACAAACACAAGAGACTATTGACTACTATCAGTACAGACTGCTTTAGCCCCTTAAAGCCCACATGTTTCATCCAAAGACTCATTGAAGCCAACCCCTCCTACTCCCTCACCTCAGGGGTGGGTTTGAAGGCACGGAGTTGTTGGGAGTGGGGCAGAGAAGCATAAAGGGGCAGCACTGTCATCCGTGGGCAGCCCTCGGGGAGGTGCTGGGCAACGTCTCGGCAGGTTTTGGTCATTGCTTCAATTTCTTCCTGCCCAGTCAGGAACACCAGGATGTCCTGGCATGCAGGGGCTTCCTAGAGCCAGAGGAGAAAGGAAGTTAGGAGGGTTTGGGTAGAAAAGGAGAACTGAGATTGGTAATGAGATGTGGCTCTGGCAGTCACCGAAGCAGGGTAAGAAGAAAAAGAAGACACATGTGGTGCAAGGATGCAACAGCCAGAATTCCCAAAGGATTCACCAGAGGCAAAGAGTAAATCACATTTTGAGAGATCAAGCGTTAAAAGGATGGAGGAATTGCTGTGTCCTCAAATAACTGTCCATGCCAGGCAGAGAGGGCCAGCAAGCACTCAAGTACAGAGAACTCAGGTGAGGGAAACATTCAGGTTTTAGGCATGAGCTGACATTATAGAGCTTTGCTTGGCAGCCTCCCTTCAGCTCCAGCCTGGACATTCAGGTCCTAAATCCCAACAGCAGCAGCAACTTCAAAACACTAAATGCAGTTTAATGAAACAACACAACAAGCCAGGTGTTTGGCAGTCAAACATCCCAGCACAAAACACCAACCCCTGGCCCCAGAGGGACACAAACATGCAGAGACCCTCATACCTGGTGGATTTGGAAGATGGACACCAGTGCTGCCTGCAGGTAGTCACTCTGCCTCTCCTTGGTGTAGAAGATGTCGATGGGATGCTGCCGGCCCTCCAGATAGATGACAGGAGCTCCATTGAAGTACTGGGAGAACAGGTCAACATCCATGGTGGCTGACATGACAATCACCTTCAGGGAGAGCACAGCACGGGTCAGCACTGCAGCTCCCATCCAGCTGGACACCAACGAGTCAGGACCAGCCAGAAGTCAGCTTCTAGATCCTGAGAACCATGCTCAGAACAGAAGAGAGTGATCTCCCCTCATTAAAGCCATCAGCTTTCTAACACAAGCAGAAAATGGTGTGACAGAATGGGCTGGTGTGTGGAACGAGACCATGCAAAGCCCCCTGCCAGACCAATGTGCTTTCACACAAATTCCTGACATGTCCCCCCATCCCATGTGCAGTGCCCTACCTGGGAATGAGTATGTCCCATCAGGCAGAGCTCCTGCAGCTGGAGTGATCTCAGCAGCAGTGCCAAAACCTCCCCAGCACTCTGTCTGGGGCTTTGGTGGAAAAAAGGGATCATGGTGGTGACCAGATACCTTCTTCAGAGGTGTCATATCAGGCCCAGACATCGTAAGTCAGACACCCTGAACTACTGAGATTTAAAGTGACTTTTTAGGAACAGAAAAATGGTCAAGGCTGAAATCCCAAACCCTTTGGAATGAACTGACATCACAGCTTTCATGCTAGTCCTTTTGTGCTGGCTCCTCTCCCTCATAATCATAGCGAGCCAAAACCACCTAGAACAGGAACCCATCAACCACAAACAAATCTTTGCCACAACAGTAATCCTTGGAAGGCCCCAGGAGACGCCCAGAGCAGCCAGAGCCCGCCCTTCACCGCCATCCTGGATGAACACACTTTCAGTGGCCGCAGCCCTCGCTCCTTTCGCTTCTTCTGAGCGGCTTTGACCACCCCAAAGAGCACATCAGTGTGGATGGTCCTCTCGTGGGCCTCGTCCAGGATGGCCACGCTGTACTTGTGCAGCAGGGGGTCGCCAATGGCCTCGCGCAGCAGCATCCCGTCCGTCAGGAACCGCAGCCGCGTCTGCGCGCACGAGCAGTCGTCGAAGCGCACCGTGTAGCCAACCTGGGCGAGGAAACATGGGCAGCATGGGCACACTGACTGGCATTTCACAGTGCCCTCGTGCCACAGGGAAGGGCCACAAACCCCCTGGTCACTGCACTGGACTGAGCCAACCAGAAGTGCATGGGAAGCAGAGCAGTTTATCTGCTGTGAGCGGTTCCTCTTCCAAATGTAGTAGGCCACACAAATGATACTCCCAATATCTGTGGTTGGCTTCTTCCTAACCAGAAGTTCATCATAAATGCCTCCCAAGCTCAGTTTAGTTTGTCTTTCCCATGTCCTTTCCTTTTCCCTTTCCCTTTCCCCTCCTTTCCTTTTTCCTTTTCCTTCTCAAAATGATTCCAGGCCCTCCAAGGTTTTCCTGAAGGGGAATTCTTTCTCCTCTGTCTTTCTCCCCCAGACTGCACTAATTCAGCACTCTGCTCTCCTTGTCAGTGATTTCTGACACAGGGAGCAATGAAAGAGAGCATAATATTTTTTTTTGTTTTATTCATGGATCAGTATTTTTGCAAATGGAACAAGCCAGATCAAGAAGTACAAAGCCACAGAGACAGACCATGCCCACCCTGTCATGGGACAGGTAAAGAACAATTTTTGTCCATTCATTTAATTATAGAATCAGAGAATATCCTGAGCTGGAAGGAACCCACAGGGATCATCCAGTCCAGCCCCTGGCCCTGCACAGACACCCAACAATCCCACCCTGGGCATCCCTGGAGCATTGCCCAAACTCTCCTGGAGCTCTGGCAGCCTCAGGGCTGTGCCCATTCCCTGGGGAGCCTGGGCAGTGCCAGCACCCTCTGGGGGAAACATCTTTCCCTGATATCTAACCAAGACCTCCCCTGACACAGCTCCAGCTGCTCCCTCAGGTCCTGTCCCTGGCCACAGAGCAGAAATTGGAGCTACCCCTCAGGAGGAAGCTGCAGACCAAATTCTCCACTTCTCCAGCTAAACAGACCAAGTGCTCTCAGCCATTATTATTATGTGGCTTCTTCTGACCCCTCACCATCTTTGTGTCACTCCCTTGAGCACTCCCTGACAGCTTTTACATTCTCATTCCATTGTGGCACCCAAAACCACATGATGATAATTATGAAATTATTATCACCCCTATAGCTGGTTATTACCTACCCACTGCAGCCTGACAGGGCCCCATCCCCAGAGCAGCACCAAAACAAAATGTATCTGCAGAATTAATCTGCAGACAACCTACCAGCTTGCCCAGCTCTGTCCTCTTCTCCTCAGCAACTCTGGCAGCCAGGGTGACAGCTGCCACCCTGCGGGGCTGGGTCACAGCGATGACACCGGGCTGGCCAATCCCTGCCTCGTACAGGAACTGAGGGAGCTGGGTGGTCTTCCCCGAGCCTGTTTCTCCTAGGGAATACCAAGGGAATAGAGTTTGTCCCCACACTTTTATAGCATTGTCGAAGTGGGTTTTTTATGGTAACTTTTAGCCCTGTTTGAGGATGGAGAAGCTGAAGACAGAGAGGGAAAGCAGTGGCAGGTCAGAGATGGCACCCAACGCCCTCCTTGCCCACTCCTCTGCAGAGCTCCAGCCACATTCGGGTTCACAAACCCACTGCAGCCTCTCTGGAGGTGAAGTATCTGTGCTGTGACACTAACAGGAGTGACACACAAAGCATTTTTCATTTAATTACAATAAATGCTGAGTCTTTACTAGGTGGGAAGTTGTACATCTTCAGCTCCTGAAAAGTCTAACAAAAAGCTTTTTCGTTTGCAGAACAGAAAAATATAATCAAATCAGTGAAAGCATAATAAAATCAGTGAAAATGTAAGTGAGGAGTTTTCAGAAGGGGAGAGCTTGGCCATCGGGCTTTGACAGAACTCTATGCAGACAGCGAAATGAGGGAAATCCTTTAACCTGCTCCACAGAAACCCCGGCTGCCAAAGCACAGAAGTCATGCCCTGCTCACCACACTTCAGATTTACACCCAGCCCGTTTCCGGGCAGCTTTCCCAGCTGGGGGCCCTGTTCCCGGCACTCACCGATGAGCACGGCGGTGTCGAGGCGGCGCAGCCGGGCCAGCAGCGGCCCGCGGGCCCCGGAGATGGGCAGGGAGCGCCGCTGCACGTGTGCGGGCGGCGCGGCGCTCTGGGGCTGCGTGCCGGGAGGCGCCGCCTTGAACCGCTTGGCCGGAGGCTCCTGTCTGTCCTGAGCCATCTCGCCTCGCGCTCCCGGCCCGGTCTGTCCCGGTCCGGTCCGTCCCGCCGGGGCTCTCCCGGGACTCCGGCCGCTCCCGCCGGGACCGTGCCGCACGGGCTCCCTAGCGCAGCGATGACGTCACCGCGCGACGCTGCGCGGAGCATCCTGGGAGTTGTAGTCCCGCCGCCACCGCCGCCATTTGCAGAGCTCCCGGCTCCAGGCGCCCCTCAGAAACATCGCGGACCCCAAAGGGCAGCAAAATGCAGCCAAGGAGGGCAGAGAGCCGGCTGTGAGCAGCGGAGGGACATGTTCCCAATCAGGACTTGTCCCAGTGACAAGCTACGAAGGGGTTCTCAAACACTGAACTATAAAGAACACAAAAAATAACGTTTTTATCTCATTCCTGCCTCATAACCTACGCTGAAGCAACATTGTCCAAGACACTTTCATTCTTGCTCTCTAGGAGCACTAGAAGTCTGTTTTAGAAACAATTAAAACTGCCCCAAAAACAGACTAAAAAACCTGTAAAATCCCTCAAAGCTTCCATAAGTTTTATAATCTTTAACAGATAAAAATGCAGACACAGATTACATCACATATTTTATCAGAATCTAAGACACTGCTTGTGGACAAAACATTTCCCCTGAGATCCCCACACATTTCTCTTCCTGGACTATAAATTAAAAAAAACTAAAACTTGTAGCCAGTTTTGAAAAGCAAAATGTGAGACTAAATGAGATAATCCCATGTCATGGGTAAACCCATCCTTTAAAATGCAGAATGAAGATGCAGCTTTAACTTTAATCTATTATGATATAATCAATAAAACCCCACCTGATACTTTCTATGGTGATTTAAGAACAACTGACCATGATGAGCTGAACTGAGCTCCAAATTCCTATGTGGCTGTTCAGAGATATTTATAATCAATGCAGCTTTAAGCTAAATGTTACTCAGTCTCACTGGCCTGTGCTGGACACAACAAACTCCATCCACAGACCACGGATTTCACATCCTGAGCAGACAATGCTGTGTCCTGCACTCTGAGACACTTGTGGGAAAAGCTGCAGGAATCTCTGTCTCTTCAAGGATTTGCTTTTTCCAGCCCCTGCTGCTTCAAGACTATAGGATGATACAGAGGATTAACCAAAAAGGATCCACAAGACATTTTATTCAACTCATCATCATTTTTTGAGTCCAGACAAATTTCCTTCTCTAGTGCTGCAGGTCATCCAGTATCAGTAGAGGGCACAAGGGGATGGATTTTGCAGGCACAGCTGTTTAACCACCACTGTGGGCACCTGAACACATAGTCTTTGGGGGAAAAAACCACCAAAATGTAGCCTCATCCTGCAGAACGTCCCAAAAATCCAACTGGCAGAGTGAAAAGCTGCATGTTGTGTTCCCTGCAGTTCAAAGATGACTGGAGACAGCAGCACCTCAGATTAAACAACCTTTTGCCATGGAAATATTGACTTAGCCTTTCAATCATCTTGCAGTTGTTTTATCCAAGAATACAAAAATGAGTTAAATCCCAAAAAGTTGGGTTTGTCCTCTATAAAGTTTCCCATAGAGTTTCACGTATCAAATAACTTGAAAAAAATGCTTTAGAAATCACTTTAAACAAGTACTCGTGTGGCCTTGTTAACTGAAGTTAACAGGAAACAGTTTCCAGTTTTACATTTTTGGCTCCACTGGATTTAGATGATGTCCAGCACAGTGAATTCCCTGATTGGGAAGGGTGCTGGGAGTGCCTCGGGTGAGACTGCATTTCATAAAGTGCTTGTGTTCCAAACCATAGGGCTGTCAAGAGTCCTCTGTGTGCTGGGGAGGAGCCCCCATGGCCCTGGTTAACCCCCGAGGCGCTGCCCCTCTCCCCAGGCAAAGCCCCCCGGCCGCTCCTCGGGCAAGGGGTTGTAGTTGGGGTCATCCTCTGGGGTGTCAAATATTGCTTTCCTGCAAAACACAAAGCATGGTGAGCCTTTAAAACACAGCTTTCACTGTAACATCAACACAGCTCACATGCTGCAGTGGCATCCCCCACAAACAGCTTGCCCAGGCATTGGGGTTTATGGTCTCCAATTTGGAACCACCATGAAGGGGATCCCAAATCAACCAGGAAGGAGATCCCAAATCAACACTGATGAGGTTCATCCTCTGCTATTTATGTATAAATATTCTATGCCAGACATCTCCAGGATAGTCTTAGGACTCTGTGAAAAACAACATCAAGACAGCTCACATGCTGCAGTGTCCTCCCTCAAGAACAGCTTGCCCAGGCAGTGGGGTTTATGCTCTCCAATTTGGAACCACCATGAAGGAGATCCCAAATCAAGACTGATGAGGTTATTCTGCTATTTATGTATAAATATTCTATGCCAGACATCTTCAGGATAGTCTTAGGATTCTGTGAAAAACAACATCAAGACAGCGCACATGATGTCAGCTCACAGCATTTGGTTTGGCCAAATTCTCCACTTCTGCAGCTGAACAGGCCAAGTGCTCTCAGCCATTCCTATCATGTGGCCCCTCCTGAACCCTCACCATCTTTGTGTCACTCCTCTGAGCACTCTCTGACAGCTTTTACATCTCATTACATTGTGGGATCCAAAACCAATTATGAAATTAAGACCATCACCCCTGTGGCAGTCTCCTCCCTCAAGAACAGCTTGGCCAGGCAGTGGGATTTATGCTGTCCAGTTTGGAACCACCAGGAAGGAGATCCCAAATCAAGACTGATGAGGTTATTCTGCTATTTATGTATAAATATTCTATGCCAGACATCTTGAGGATAGTCTTACGATTCTGTGGAAAACAACCATCAGAAGTGTTCTGGGAGAGCACCATAATGGATTAGAGCATCCACACAAGAGGGAACTGAGTGGGAGTGTTAAACACTCTAAACACTGAAGGATTTTTTTCCCCAAAATTGTGAGGATTACTTACAGAAGAAAAAAAACTATGTAATATCTTATTTGTAGTACCTCAACCACTGTTCACACTCAGCAGGGGACACAGCTTTGGTGCTGTCAGCAAAGTGTTATCAGAGAAACCAAGGTAAAATCCTTTAGCTCTTCTCCAGGTAAGTTGGTTCCCACTTAAAAAAATTCCAGCTCCTTGTTTGGCAACACAAGTTCAATAAAAAGCAAGGAGAGACACTCCCCAATTTTGTCTCTGCCCAAATGATGTGACTAATTGCAAACAGTTTTCCAAACAAGCACTTTTGCCATGTCTCTTCCAAAGCAGACACCAATACTCACAGGACAGACGGCGTTCTCAGGAGCCTCCCACCACCAGGCTGATTGGGAAAGACATCCTCTAAGAAAAAATATATATGCCCAACAGCAATGCCTGGTATAGAAACAAAAGCCAAAAGGTGATTTTTCAGTAGGTCTCCTTTACAATTCTCAAATTCTTTACAATAGAGTTTTCAGAAAAACAACATACATTGGTTCTTTCACAGAAAATTCGATGATACAAAAATACAAAACTTAATGAAGAAAGCTAACAGCAGGTAAAAAGCTTAACTTATACTACAAGACATTAATATTGGGGAAAGGTCTTGTCATTATTAAAAATACTGATGTTTTGGCTCTATTAGAGTTGATAAAATAGTAATATAAACTATTTTATTTCAATGGACTGATGCTATAGTCAGATGATGCATCAGGGCTGATTCCAAGCAATAAAAAGCCAAAACATCAAAAGTTCTTCCTATCCTTATCACAGCACAAAACATGCCACAATGGCTAGAAATCAGAAAAGCCTAAAAATATAAATATAAAATAATAAATATAAAAGAAGAACTAACACCAAGCATTAATTAGCCCTTGGATTTGATGATACAGAAATACAAAAACTAAGGAAGAAAGCTAACAGCATGTAAAAAGCTTAGCTTATAGTATAGGATATTAATATTGGGGAAAGATCTTGTCATTATTAAAAATACTGATGTTTTGGCTCTATTAGAGTTGATAAAATAGTAATGTAAGCTATTTTATTTCTGTAGACTGATGCTAGAGTCAGATGATGCATAAGGGCTGATTCCAAACAGTAAAAAGCCAGAATTTAAAACATCAGAGAATAAAAAACATCAGAAGCGCTTTCCATCCTTATCACAGTACAAAACATGCTACAATGGCCAGAAATCAGAAAAATCTAAAAATATAAATATAAAATAATAAATATATCAGAAGAACTAAAACCGAGCATAAAAATGGGACAAATCCCCATTTTTGGTTTCACGTAAAACACGAGGAGGAACAGATCCTTGTGAGATTGCTGCCATTGCTCACCCAGGAGATCCACAATGATGGAGTTCCCCAAGAGCAGAGAAAAGCCCATCAGTACCCAGGGTAGGAAAGGGGCTTGGAAGATGAGGAGCCCAAAGAAGTTCATGCGGACGTAGGGGTTCCTGCGGCTCCACACGTACACCAGCATGATGGTGAACGCCTGCCCCAGGAACACCAGGTTCACAAACAGCCCAAAAAGCTGCCATGGCTGGTTAAGGAAACCCTTGTGAGGTCAGGAATTTCACAGCTTAATTTGTAACCTTGTGTTTTCCACACAGCTGGTAAATCCACTTTCTCAGGTGTAAGGATGTCAAATTAGTGGCCATCAAATCCAACAGGTGCAGCAGGATTTGGGTACCTGCAGCATAACCTCATTAAAGCAGAATTTAATTCTTCACAGACAACGTGAGCATGATCTCACATCTGAACAGCCCCCTGATAACCTCATTTCCAGCAGAAAAGATCCTGAAAAACCAGCAACAATCCCAAAATATTCAAAACCACCCTAACAACTATCAGTACTCCTTGTGCAACAAACTGTGTTAAGCTAACAGTAACAACAGGGTTTCAGCTCTCCTTCAAACTTCTGTATGTTCACTTGGAAAGAAAACAGAAAGGATACAGTCATTAAAAGTCCTCCAAAAAGGAACATAAATACAAAATCTGCCGTGCGACCCCGGAACGAGCCTTCCTCGAGCATGCGGCAGTAGCGGTATCTGAGGCCAA